CCGCCGCAGCCGGCAAAAAAAAAGAGTTTTCTTTAAAACAAAAGCGGGGGCGTCTGTGTGTGTCGGCGCCGCACACCTTCACTGCTTTCACCGGCTTGGCGGGCTTGCCTTGCCTTCGCCCGCAGGGCCGCGGGGCCGCAGCCTCCTGATGCGTCTGACACCCCACCACCCCCAACCCGTCGCCCCGCTGGCGATATTAAACGATTTCCAATTCGAAGCAGTTGGCAGAACTGTGACATGGAGTCATAAATGAGCGGAGGTGCCAACGCAACGATGCCACCCCCTGTGTGTGAGCCAGCCAGCCCCCCCCCCCCCCCCCTCCGGCAGGCAGCAGTGCGCTCTTCTACTTTTTTGCACTCGTTCTCCCTTTTTTTTTATCCATTCGTCTTATTGGAGAAAAAGCGCGCGGTGCGAAAATTGAAACGGAATGGCGGCGAGTGCACACTCCTGGAAAAGGAAGAAACATCCGGCGCATTGTACGGCGCGCTCAAATTGAAATAAACTCGGTGCGCGCGTCTGAAAGGGAAATTTAAAAAAAGGGGGACATCGTTAGTATTGCTCACCTGGTTCACTTTTAGGCGCTTCCAGCAAGAGCTGCGTGCATACTAGTCGTCCGTTTCCGGCCGGGTTTGTGAAAAACAAAACTGCAGTTATTGGAAAGTGCATATGCCTCGCCAGCCCTGTGGAAAAAGAAAGCCAAACGAATGGTGGGAGATGAAAAACAGAAACAGTTCGGACGCACAAGAGGCCGGGCGCCGCTCTGCACTCTCCATACAGAGGCCTGTAAATCAAACAGCAAGCGGCCGACACAACAGGCATGCTATCGCATACAGGTAAAGCAGTGCACTCCTCTTTTTTTCCTTTTTTTCGCGTTTATAATATTGGCCGGGCCGTTACTCATCGCTAATGGTCGTCGGCAGCGCCTCGATTCGGCATTATTGCGCATTATTGTCGAATGACTCGAATGTGCCGCGGTCGCTACAAGGAGGGCCTCGGCCTCGGCCGGCCAATCAGGGACCGCCTCCCCCGCCCCCCCCCCTCCCCTTTTTGTCCCCTGTCCCCCCCTGGCCCTTGCCGGGCGCCCTCATTCTGAGACGCCACATTCGCAACGGCCCATTTAGTCGGTTAGGCCCCGGGCCGCCCCGGGCCGCCCCCGGCCGCCAGTGGTGCGCCGCGGTATTCAATTTCACATTGCCGACTAATTTTCACATATTTCCCCGCCCAGGACGTTTGCGTTGCCCGCGGTTACTTTCGGAAAGTAAAAGTGTTTTTTTTTTCCTCTGTTTTGACTGTTGTGTAGAACACACAGACAAGGTGGGGAAGCCGTTTTCGAGTGGCGCGCCCTCCTCCCCCTCGAGAGGATCCTCCTGGCAGTGTGGTGTGAATTGGACATGCATACCGGCAGCCACTCTCGCAGACCGTATCTCGCTCGAGTGCAGAAAAGGGTTGGAGGTGAGAGTGGGTTGGCGCGCTGGCGCGCTGGCGCGGGGGTCGCAGCTACCGTTACAGATAAGACCTTATTGTGGCCCCGCGGCCCGGCCCGGCCCGGCCCTGTGCACACAGCGCGCGCCAGACGCCGCCACGGCACGACGGGCACGTCACGGGGGATTCCAGCCGCCGACGAGGACCGCGGCGCCGCGCCACCAACCCGGAGGGGGCGAGGGGGCGGGGAATATTACGGCGGCGGTTTCACGTGGTTTATCGCGCGGAAAGGCCGTGGAATCGGAAGAAACAAATGCCGGCAACTTGTGGGGTGGGGCGCCGATGTCTTCATGAGCCACTCGGGGGGCGGGATCGGCGTCAATGCCTCCGCCGCCACGCCGCCCGGCTTCCCTTGCTTCGCTGGCTCCGATTCCGCGGGGGGGGGGGGGGGGGGCACCGACGAAGGGGGCATCAGTATGCTCGGTGCCCGGCCTGCCCGGCCCGCCTCATGCATAGTTGATTAAAGGGGCGTCCCCCTCCGGACAACTTTTCACCTTCCAACTTTAAAGACAGAGGCCCCCCGAATGGCATGCACGCTGTTTTTGCGATACAAATTCCGGCACTGCCGGCTTCCGCTGGCTGCCGCCGCCCTGGCCTGCCCTGGCCTCGCCGGCCTTGCCCAACGGGCCGCTTAGGCCGGGTCGGGTGGAGGGGAGGGGGGGTTCTAGTTGAACACGGAGGATATTCCGAGAGAAAGGCTGGTGCGCGGGCGGATGAGGGCGGCGAGATGTGATTCTTGTTTGCGTAGTATCGCCGGCTCGGCTCGGCGGGGAGGTCTCGTCCCCCGCCCTCGCCGCGAGCCGAGCCGGTCGCAAGGTTTGGGGAAGGTTTGGGACCACTTTGCTCCATTACGGAGCGCCAGAGTTTTCGGGAACAGGAAAAAGAACAACGAGAGCGACGGGAATCAAAATGTGATGGCGCGTGCGGCCTTTGAACGCGCCATCCATCCATCCATCCACCCCTTTGCGGCCGCCGCTGTCGCCCCTGCCTGGCGGATATTACACCGACAGAGCGGTCTGGAGGGTCACTGGCGCACTGCCGTCCGCCGTTCCAGCCAATCACATCGCGCGCGCCACGCCACTCGGCCGGCTGCCCCGCCGCCACTCCGCCGCCACTCCGCCGATGAGGAAAAAGCGGGAAAAAGTCACACACAGCAGCGAGGGGGTCGCGAATCGGGGAATCAGGTGAAAAGGGAAACGCCTCTTCTCAAATATTGTGTTTCCCAGCGTCTGCCGCGCCGGGCCACGCCAGCGAGCACGCCAGGCAGGCACGCCAGGCAGGCAGTCGGAAGCGAGGCGAATTGCACGACCAGCCAGTCAGGCGGGCGGCGGTGGAGGGGGGAGGGGCAGATTTCTGTGTATTTGTGCTCGGCAACGCGCGCGCGCGCGCGCCCTCCCGGCATCAGCATAAAAAGAAATAAATTATTTGGAAAGGTAAATAAAAGAGGCAAAAAAACGCACGAAGTGAGCAGACGTCGGTGTTTGATCGCGCGTCGCCGTCGTCATCGCGACTTGCTGGCCGGGCGAGGCTAGGCGACGCGTCGCGCTGCGTTGGCCTTTTAGGCACGCGGACCAAGCTCGTGGTGTTATTGTTGTTGTTTTGTTGTTGCTGTTATTGCTGTTTTCCTGCAGAGACGATTCGCGCGCTTTCGCAATCATCCAAATCGGATTCCATACCGGAAAAACATCCCCATGTCCGTTTGGCAGCACGGCCCGGTGTCCCCCCGGGGCTGCCAGCGGGGCTGGCGGGGCTGGCAGGCTGGCAGGCTGGCGGGGCTGGCAGGGCTGGCAGGCTGGCGGGGCTGGCGGGGCTGGCAGGCTGGCGGGGCTGGCAGGGCTGGCAGGCTGGCGGGGCTGGCAGGGCTGGCAGGCTGGCGGGGCTGGCGGGGCTGGCAGGCTGGCAGGCTGGCGGGGCTGGCAGGGCTGGCGGGGCTGGCAGGCTGGCGGGGCTGGCGGGGCTGGCGGGGCTGGCGGGGCTGGCAGGCTGGCGGGGCTGCCGCAAAGTGGCGGCCCAATATAAGTAGCCGTAGCGCGCGGAGCGGAGCACGGCCGCCCCTTTTGTCCGCACGCTCGTGTGTGCGGACGCGTAATGTACCGGTGTGTGTCTTGTGTGCGTGTGTGTGTGCGTGTGCCCGCGGGCGTGTGAGAGAGAGAGAGAGAGAGAGAGAGAGAGAGAGAGAGAGAGTCGGCAAATGAGGCAGTGAGGCCTGTGTAAATAGGGGCAGGAATACGTGTAATGCCCGTGTGCGCGCTGTGCGCGTACGCCGCCGATATGGTGTGGGACTTGTGGCATTTCAGGCGCCGGGGTGGGGGGGCTTGGAGGAGGAAGGTAAACGGAGAGGCAAAACGAATAAAAATTAATCTTCCGCGGCGCGTGAGAAAGCCCCCGCCATTTCACGCGTCCAAATGTGACGTCCTCTCCAATTTTGGTCGGAGAGTCGCAGAGGCGACTAAGGCCCGGGCCGGGGCAAGCCGGGGGGTCCGCCCGCGCGCCGCTCCGAAATAACAGGCTTGTTAATTTGCGTCGCGTGTCGGGGAAAAATAAAAATATTTGCGCCGCCGAGGATATTTACTCGATAAATTTATTTATCGTTCGCTGAAGTTGGCGTGTTCCCTCTGCCCTGCGGGCCCTGGCGCCCTGGCGCCCTGGCGCCCTGGCCTGGCGAGGCCTGCGAGGCGGGACGGGGGTTTCGCAGCGCGATCCCATTTTCTGGTCCACAGCTAGGGCACGGCCACGGCACGGCACGGCCAGGGCGCCGCCAGGGCGGGGGCTCCTAACTAGCAGCACGCCACGTTTATTTCGGAGCGGTGCAATTTCGGGCCGTGCGGTGGAGGGTCCCCGGCCGAGCCCCGGCCGAGCCGGGCCACATTTTCATAAAGTGGTGTGCGCAGTGTAGCTCGGCGGGGGAGCCGGCAGATGGACAGGGACGGGCCGCCGGGGCCTAGGAGCGAGGGCTCGACCGAGGGCTCGACCGAGGGCTCGACCGAGGGCCAGGACCTAATGCGGACTGGATTCCGAAAGCCCGTTGCCCGTTCGCATGGCGGCACGGCGTGGCCCGGGCGTGGCGGCCCCACGGCCGGAAGGTGGAGGGCCTTGGCGACCCCGCACTGCAATCGGTGTCGCCGCCGGTCCCACCCGCCCCGCCGCGCCCCGCCCCGCCCCGCCCCACCCCGCCGCAGTGCCGGCTGCTAATACGTGTCCACCATTTTCGGCCCCGCGTGTTGCTACACTGCGATAGCGCCGACGCTGTCCGCCGGTGTTTTTGGAAACGGCAAAGGGCTTTTTTTTTGCCCGGGACACAGTGGAAGAGTCAACCTTTTTCGACGCGCGCGACTACAGTCCACGCACGGCAATAACGGTTCCTGCTTTCCCCACAGGGACTTTTTGGAAATCGACTGTCTTCGTATAACATACCAGGGGATACCAGGGAACCGCTTTCGCCGTGCGTTTGCCATCGCACTTATTGTCCTTTCCTTGCCAGTTTTTCAGCCAGTGTTTTGTTTTTGTTGGTGTTGCAGCGTCGCTGACCTGCGCCGGCATGGCCGCGTACCCGATGGGCTGGGACAACAGAGAAGTCCGGGAAAGTTGCGGCGCCGAGGCTGAAGCGTATCGGTTAGGTGAGTGTACAACGCGTTGCATTTGTTTTTGTTTTGCTGCACGCCGTGCACGCCGTGTTGTTGCGGTCGTGTTGGAGCCCCTGCAATGCAGCACTCACGAGGGCCGATCCAACTACTACCTGAACCAGCCGAAGCCCCCTCTCTCTCTCTCTCTCTCTCTCTCTCTCTCTCTCTCTCTCTCTCTCTCTCTCTCTCTCTCTCTCTCTCTCTGTGCCGCCGAACGCCACAGAGAGTTTGCTCAACTGCGGTCCATACATTTCGCCTGCATTGATGAGAAACAATCACCATGTTTTATTGTGGGGGTGAAAAATTGAGCGCCCTTTTCCCTTTGCAGCCGCGCCGCCCCGCTGCGCCCTCAACAAGCAGGGCGGAGTGGTGGCATTGTGCGCGAGGCGATGAAGGCCTTTAAAGTGTCCGATGGCGCCTTGTCCGACAGCCACCCCGACCGGCCCGGCCGGCCCGGCCCGGCACCAGCCCCCTGCACCAACTTTTGCTCCTGTTCCGGGCCGGAAGGTTGGCCACACTGACCGCACGCCGTGCCGGCATGGTGCTGCCCCGCCCCGCCCCGCCCCGCCCCACCCCGCCCCGCCCCGCCCCGCCCCGCCGCACGCATCCCCTCGACTCAGACAAACGCCGCCCGGACTTCTTTTTTTCCCGCCTTCCTCGTGTGTTTTTATTCTTTGCGTCAAAAGTTTGTTCTCTGAGTGAAAAGAACATTGAGGAAGGATCGAGAAGTGATGGTCCACCCCGGCGGGGGGATGGCGAGGCCCGAAGCGCCCGAGGCGGGGCGGGGCGGGGCGGGGCGGGGCGGGGCGGGGCGGGGCGGGGCGGGGCGGGCCCAAGGCGCGGCGCTGGCGGCGCTAGCTCTCCCCCGGGAGGGGCAAGTCGCAGCACGCAGGCGGACGGGCGGACCGGAAGTCGGAACGACGGACTCTAAGGAATTAGCAACGAACAAGACACGCACAAGGGGATAGTAATAAACGGGGTACGGTACAGAGACGCCAAGAACAGCCCCCGTCTATCTCTCTCTCACGCACACACGCGCGCGCACACTGTCACACCCTCTCACTCCCTCACGCAGAGCGCGTGACTCCCGGCGTGACTCGTGTAGTAGTGTCAATGCGGAGACAACTTTGGCTGATTGGACACAGTTTGTTTCTGTGCCGGGATAAACTTTCAGACGCCCCTCGCCGCCCCTTTCTGTACCCCCTCCCCCTTCCCCTCCCCATCCCCAGCGCCCCGCCCCGCCTCGTCCCGACCTCGTCCGCCGGCCGCATGGCTCGGCCGCAGACGTGGCTTCTTCTCAAAAACGGCCCAAAACGTGCCGGGGTGCTGGCGAGCAGGGTGGCTGTGTGTAAGTTGACCCAGTCAACTTACACACAGTGGCTGTGTGGCTGCCGTCAGCCTCTGTCGGCGACCTCGCGAGGCTGCGACGCTGCGGGGCTCCTCCCGCGTCGTATTGCGCGTTGCTTCGAGTGAGGCGCAGCACAGCGCAGCACAGCGCCATGGGCATGGCGGCATGGCCGCGCCATCGAGTCGTTATTGCGACTATGGCGGCGTGTGGCGGGGCGGGGCGGGGCGGGGCGTACCTTTGGACGCGATGCAGCAGACCGAAAACGAGACTGGAGGGTAGATTTGTTAGCTAGCTGCAGCCAGTGCCTTGGAATCGCTCTACTGTATAAGCAATTTGTTTGGCGCGATTTCCACTTTCCTCGGCGCTCCCCTCCGGGCTTTGGTCGTTTCCTCACCCGTTTTCGCGACCTCTTTTTCGCGGCGAACTCCGCTGCCATTGTCCTCCACCTTCGCCTTTGGCGCAAACGCTATTCCTCAAACGCCATGCTGTTACACACTTCAGCGAGTGCAAGTGCAAAATCGACACGATCCGGACTTAGCCTCGCCTTCCTCCCACGTCCCCCGCACGCTCACACACACACACACACATCCTGGAAAGGCTGGATGATATTTGGCACCTCTCTATATACAGCACACGGATCGGAATGGGGAGAGGAGCCCCAGGAGGGGAGGGGTAGGGGGGCTGGATTTATGGATGGCTTCGGATTGGTGGCCGAAGCCGGGCGAAGGCCGGGCAGCCTCTGGGCTCTGAGCGGCCTCCTGGTGAGGTCGGGAGCCCCTCGCCGTGTCTCACAGCGCCCACAGTGCAGCAGTGTACGTACACAGTGTACACTACACCGCCTTGGCGTCCTTTGACGGCGGACGGCGGGTTCTTTTCATAGCCCGCCGTGGCTTAGTGCTTAATACAGACAGTCTTGGGCGCCACGGCCACGCCACGGCCGCGGCAGTGTGGCCGCTGCCTGCCGCCGCCCCGCCTCTGGACATTATTTTTTAATACTCCCTCGCCAGCCCCCTCCCCCGGCCGCCCGCCCCGGTCCGCCCCAGCCCGCCCTGGCCGGCCGGGTATTGCGGTTTCCGCAGGAATGTCCCTGCATTCCACGGGCGGGGCGGCGGGGCGGCGGGGCGGCCGGAGGGCGGGGCGCGCCCAGCCGGCGTTGAAGGACTGGCGGCGTCCTCGCCACCACCGCGGGGGGCTGGGCCGGCCGGGCTGCCCGGAACGTCGCGAACAGGTGTCCGTCATCCCGGGGCCGCAAATTCCGTCACTTTTTTCCGATTTGTTGTTTTGAGTTTGTACTTGCGATATGTCAGTGTGTGCGAATGGGCAGGCAGGGTAGCCTCGCCACGGGCAGCACGGCCGGCTGCGGCTCGCCGGGTTCAAAGAGAGGGTGAAGGGCGGTGAAGGGTCGAGAAGGGAATGCCAGTGTGGTGGAGGCCGGGCAGGCCGTGTGGGCCGTGCTAGAGACCGCCCCCACGTCATCGCGTTCTGCGAGGTGCTCCAAATGATTCCCCGCATGATGGCGTCCCGCTCGGCGCCCCCCCGGGTGCCCCACTCGGCGGCCCGGCGCCCCGTCTGCGGCCCTCTAATTGCGCCGCATTGCGATTCGCATTGCAGGCGGCGCGGCATTCGCATTGCGATTCACATTGCGCTTCGAGGGTCTTGGCGCGCGCCGCGCCGTATACCGGCATCGGCCCCATCGATTGCTCCCGCACGGTGTATGGAAAAGTTGCTGTGTTTGGCCGAATTTGCCCGAGGACCCGTGGCGCCGTGGCGACGCACATATCGGGACGAGACGAGGATGCGGGCCGCATTCGCCTCTCCCTGCGACAGAGAGAGGGAGAGAGAGAGAGAGAGAGAGAGAGAGAGAGAGAGAGAGAGAGAGAGAGAGAGAGAGAGAGAGAGAGAGACGAGGCAGTGTACCGCAGGCCGAGGGTGCTGCAGCGGGGCCGGCCGCAGAGCGCGCAGAGCCATCCATAGGTCCCAATTAAGGAGGAGCACGGGCGGAAACAGGAAAGTGGCCACTCCAGGGCATGCAGCCAGTATATTACGTAACGTGAGTTTAGGCCCTCACGCACACACACACACAGAGTGTCGGAGTGGCGCCAACGGCAGAGGCTCTCTGAGCCAAGTCGTGGCTGCAAGTGTATGGGTGGGTGAGTGTGTGTGAGTGTGGCTCTCATTGGGCCAACCCGAGGCCTGCAGCCTACAGCCGGGACTACAGCCCGGACTACAGGCAGGCAAGGCGCCAAGCGGAAGGCCGGGGAGCCGAGGCGCGCTAAGCCAGGTCAATGGAGGGGCAGCCAGGGCAGCATGCAGTGCCAACGAACGGCGGCATCGGGACTCGCAGTAACTTAACGAAATTCCAGGTCTCGTGGAGGCACACTGGCGCACAGCTCGTGCGGTAGGGGTGGCTGGGTCCTTCCCCTGTCACTCCGACGTTCCGATGTTGGAGCGGACGCGTCGCGCGCGTCGCGGCAAGGCGCTCCCTCGGCTCCTTCATCGAGCACAACAAAGAGCGACACGGCCACTTTGGCATGCGGGCGGGGCGGGGCGGGGCGGGGCGGGGCGGGGCGGGGCGCTGCAAGCTCGCCCGCCAGGTCGGCCAGTCGGCCTGCTGCAATCAAAAGTTTGCTTTGCGCGCCCCTGCCGCCGCCCGCCCGTCCGAACCGCGGTGCCCCCTCCCAACCACCCTCACCTCGCTGGCCGACCCGCAACCCCGGCAGAATCGGAAGCCAGAGTAGTCTCGCTGAAAAATACAAAGTTTAATCTGCAGTGTGAATAATATGTGCGTTGTGTTTCGTGTTGCAGGGAGCTGCGAGCTGTCGTGGTCGGTCTACCTGCTGGCGGGGGCCGTGCTGCTGCTGCTGCTCTGCTTCGGGCTCAGCTTCTGCTCCTCCAACGTGCGGCCGCCGACTTCCTTTCGTATCTGAGTGTACAGCGCCGGCATGCTCCCGGTCGCCCTCTAGTGGCCCCGGCCGAGGGCCCCGCCGAAGGCCCGGCCGGGGACGAGGTGTCGGCGCTAGCGTGTGGATCTCCATGGACGCGCTCGACTGCCCGCTGTGACGCGGCCCAGCCAGCCCTGCCAGCCCGGGACGGCTCGAGCCCCAATCAGCCCGGGGATCCGGCCGGCTTCCGAGCCGCTGCGGCAGCCTGCGGTGGACCGGAGTGACGGAGTGACAGAGTGACACCCCCGAGAAAGCGCGTCACTCGCGGACGGTCCCCTTCGGTCCCCCGGGCCTGCCGTGTTCCGCGAGAGTGCCGCGCCGATGTACGCGCAGCCCGCGGCTCGAGCGCGCAGGCCCAGCAGGCCCAGCGTTCAGTCTGAGCGGAGAGTCCTCCGAGGAAGGCGTGCGACGGTGCAGTGCATGGCGAATCGAAAAACAAAAACAAGACGAAACAGTGTTCTACGGAGGGGTTGCACGCACGGTGCAACTACCCGTCGACTGTCACAAGAACAGATGGAACAAAAACGCCTAAAAAAATGAAACTGAGGATGTTTTTTCTCTTCGACGCAAAATTGGAAGATCGCCCCGCCGCTCGGCCTTGCAAAGTGGAGCTATGCCGGTGAATTCATTGGACGATTGTTGTTATAAAAGTTGTTATGGACAATATTATTTATGATGCTGACGTCAGTCGGCTTATTTTTATCCAGTGCCCAGCAGCTGGCTTAACAGAGTGTTTATTGTAGTGTATTCGGAGTTGGCTCATGTGTTATACGTCAGAAATCGACTTCCGGACTCATCTTGTCGGAGTGATTTCAGGGTATACGTCTTCGAGGGATTAGTGTTACAGTAGGAAATTAAATCATCCCCATGTTTCCGGTGTGAATGTTGGCCTAATCCTTTCATTGTTTTCATTCTGTTATGTAAATTGTTTCCTAGGGCGCTGTGAATGTTTCGTAGGATGGGGTAAATGTGACTCAAGTAATGTTACAAGTTGATGTGCCGCGTGTTGTGAGCACTCAACAATCTCTTGTGTATTATTATGTCTCGTTGCACTATTCGTTGGTGTTGTCTAGCCTTTGTCCAAAGTCTATTCAGTCTTTTCCTGCGTCTTCTTGCATGTATACCATGAACTTTTCTGTGCCTGTCTTCCCTATGGTCTGAACCACTGCCCCGCAAAAGTGCTGCCTAGCTGGCCAAAAGCATAATACCTGTAAACTATGTGACTCTGCTGCATTCCTAGCACACCTTGTCGTCAAAGAAAGCAATGAATGAAAGCCATCGCTGCTGCTCCCCTTTTGTACTTTTCCATGAACGGCGTTCATATTGTAAGACAATGGATGAAATTAACTCACCAATGCTGTGTAATAAAGGGAGATGTTTGTAAGCGTGAACCCGTTCCTTGGCGGCCCACGGTGGCGCTACTCTCCTCACCTAACCTCGCCCCGCCCCGCCCCGCCCCACCCGGGACGGACAAAGAGTTTGGGGCGTTCTTATCTCGCAACGGCTCCCCCGGGCCAGACTCCTCATCGCCTCCTTTCAGCCTCGCAGCCGACACAAGCTTTGTTTTTCTCCCCTTTTTGACGACATTAATCACCGTCGTCGTCGCGGCCACGCGGCCACGCCGCCTTTCCCGCGCTGCGCCGGTTGCCAACCTAACGGCGCTAAAGCCCGCGACCGCAACCCGCCCCGACGGCCTCGCCTGGCCTCGCCTCGCTTGGCCCAGTCGTGCCAACATCGGCGTGTCGATTCCGCTCGCCGCCGCCTCGCCCAAGGCTGCCCAACGCCCCACAGACAATGGCCGCTCATTATTTCACTGACGCCCCCGCTTGTTTGGCCTCATGCCGGCCGGCCGGCCGTCGACACTCGGCACCCCTCCGCCCCCCGACTCCTACATCTTGCCTTTTTCTATCTGACTGGCAAGCACGAAGTCGGCCAACAGCCGCGAGACGAGTCTTAATCGAAAAACTTTCAAAATCGACATAGAAAAGGGGGCGGGCTGCGGGAGGAGCGTGCGCGCAGAGCGGAGAGCGAAGAGACCGGCAAAGTGCGGCGGCAAAGTGCGGGGGCAAAGTGCGAGGGCGGCCGCAAGGATGTGGGCTGCTTCACTGCTTCGGCCCTGGCTTGGCTTGGCTTGCCTTGGCTGCGCTCTCGCCGCCAGTGGCTGTGACTGCTGTGACGCCGAGTGCGTCGTGCTCAAGGAGGAAGACGAAGAGGGGCAAGAGCTGTTTCTATTTCGTTTATTTACTTACAAGCAGGCCGTCACCGGAATGCAGCCGAAAAGTGGAGGGGAGAGGTCCCGTTTCGTTTCTCTACGGCATAGTCTTGACGTACAATAAGTGTTTCTTATTTTAATGGCGCTCAAACGGGCCGGGCCTGGCCGGGCCGCGCCCACAAACTTTGGCCCGAGTTGCGACGGAGTGAAGTTAAAGGCAAAACAATACGCCTTTTGTCTGAAAGCGACAGCAGGGATAACTGAACAGGAAGTGAGGCGAGAGTGGGAGGACGGCGGCGCGGACGGCGCTGCAGAAAAGGAATTGGGGAGTGCGCCGCGCGCCGCGAAGGAAAAATGAGGAATGGCGGAGGGAAAAAACGGGTGCGGGGGCGGGGGCAGAGGATGCTCCCCTACAAGTAAATTATTCTCAGTGCATGGAGATGAATAAAACATGGCCGGGCAGATAGGGACCAGTTGGCGGCACTGGCGGAGGGGACGCGGCGAGACGGCCGAACCGTCAACACACCTCCGGGCCGTCAGGTGACCTGCGCCACTGCGCGGTGGACGCCGCCGGGGCTGGGCTTGCTGCCAGGCGTCAGGCACAGCCCGGTCGCTGTCAGACGGGCAGCCACAAGCACCCACTCATTGGGACCGGCCGACCGGCCCGCGAGCCACAGCCACAGCCGCCTTACGACGGCGGGATAGACCAGCCCGCCAAGCACCCCGGCGAAGCGGGCAAGGCCGCCGCGCAGCCCGCAGGCGCTATCCTCGGGCCCCCCGTGAAAAGAAGCATCCATTCAAGTAAAGGGTTCAAAATCTCAGCCTTGGGTTGGCTTCAAATCCGTATCTTGGATGGGTAAGTTAGGCTCAAATTCGGATGATGCAACAGTGGCGATGGGGTTGCCCACCTCAGACCTCTGGTTCCTCAGCCACAAGGCAACGTCAAGGCGTTGCTCTCGCGAATTATTGTCGTCAGTTCTGGACCGAAAAAGAGTGAGGCGTGTTAGCCTTTCTGGCGCATGATCCCTCGGAGGGCCCACTCAACGGTGAAACCATGGGATGTGTTTTGTCTAACGGCTCGCCCCTCCAAAAAAAAAAAATAGTTCCCCTCATCGATTCCGCATCTTTGAGCTGTCTAATGTGTCACCCTTTCCAGATTGGTCTGCATTTCATCAGTTAAGGAAAAGGAGGGCTGGCGCTGGCACCTCTGCGAGGATTGCATTTCTTTCTTTTTCCATTGCCTTCCGACTTGGACAGGAAAATAGGACAGGCTGAATAAATGTTGAACACTGCTTTGTTTATCCATTCCCCTTTATTCTTAATCAGTGATAGGACGCAATTAAAATAACACTTACATTTATGACACGATTTCAAATGAAACACACTAATTACCTATCTTAAGTTACAGAATGGTCCCACAATGGGATAGATCACGTCAGTAATTGCAATAACAGTACTGTACATAAAGAACAGAATATGTGGAAAGTGTCATGCAAAAGGTGCACACGTCAAGAAAATTCATGCATTATGGCTTTGACAACTTCAGTTTATAATATAGAATGTTGGCAGTATGGAACAGAAGCAATGACAATTTAATCATCAAAACTGACAGTAATCATTCTTTAAAAAGTTACAAATTTGATTTGTAAACAAGTATGGAAACAATCCTCAGCAACAATATTCTCTGATTCCATAGTGACTATAGAAATAATGAAAATGGCTACACAAAAACTTTAAAGGCTGAATCCATGGAAGTGAATCTAGTCTCTCAAAAGTTGATAACCCATGATCTTTGGTGTGTTACAAGCCAACATCAGTGAGAGAAAACCAATCAAATGAGACAAAACTAAATCTGTAGATAAAATTTTCACGTGCTAATCGATTTTAGAGGCCACAGAAAATAAACTGCCTCAATCCGCATCACCAGATAACCGTCTTCATCGTCTATCGTAGGATTCAGAGCGGCGGCTGCGGCTCTTGCTCAACGATCTGCTGCGGCTACGGTAGCGACGGCGCGGAGAGTACGATCTGCAAAGAGACAATCTGGTCCCGTGACAACGTCCTCCAAGCTAACATGGATGTTGTGGTGGCAGTGTACAAAATTGCATTCCATTCCAAACTAACAAATGAGTGATTTAAAAAAAAAGTGGCTTCACACTGATTGTTGGTGCAGAAAGCAGTACCATAAATAACCATTTAAAAACCATATTTTTAAATTCTTTTTTCAAGCAATTTGAACATTACATGCACCACCAGCAGACTAAGCTTTAACTAGATGCAACACTTAGGTCCCTGCAAGAAATCTGGCATAAATAACCCTGGAAAAAGCAATTAACCATTTACCTCATAACAAGATATTAGCTCATCAACATCTCCCTGAGAGACCAGACTGTGTGGTGAGAGTGCTAGGTAAACTACGCTACATTAACAAACTGATCAGGGTTCTTTGATTTATTAATGTCTGTAAATACAGTAAAATCTCACAGATAAAGGTTGTTTATACTGAGTCACATTGAGAACATAATTGTCAACATTGGTGAGAAGCATTTATAATTAATGTTGAGGCAAAATAATAGTCAGTTACACCAAAAATTATTTAAATATCAAATAATAGCACAAAATGAAAGATGGTCTCCTCAGGGTGAGAAGCAGGTATACGCTCATCTGAAACAAGAAAAATTGGCATTACTATCAGCCTCTAAAGCTAACTTCACACAGAAGATGTGCGTCTTAGTAAAGCTTCCCTTAACAAAGCTGACTAGGAGGGACAAAAACAATGACAAAACAGGAAAGGCAGAGCAAAGAGCTCTGTGGAAGCTGCAGTAAAGGCTGATGTAATGCTAATGACAGGATGGCAACTCGCTTTCTTCAAATTTAAAGCCATAGGCAACCCCTGATTTTTTTTTTTAAATCTTGAACTGGACTTATTTTAAACTGATATTGCATAAGTATTTTACAATGCACCTTTAAAACAAAGGAACTCAAAATATAAGAGATTGCCAAACCCATAAGACACACAGGTGCTCTCACACACGCACGCGCGCTCACACAAACACACACATGATGGACCCTCAATATGTGAACATGACAAAATCCTGTGATGTGTTCTAACTTTCAGGGCGAGGTCCGAAGCAGAGGACCTTCAGCATGAATTCAGTCCTAAGTGGGGCAAAGATATTTTACAGACTACTCACCGTCTATCCCTGGAGTCCGATCGTGATCTCCTCGGAGAACGGCTGCGGCTGCGAGAGTGAGACCGCCTGCGCGGAGAGCGGCGAGGAGAGGGAGACCTGGAAAGCCACAGGAACATATTAGTTGAGATAGAGAGTTGCAGAACCAAAACCACCTCGAGCCTCTGAACAGATGTACACCTCTCGATGTCTTGGAAGCTAGAAGTAAGAACATTTAAAATTAAAAAAAAAAAAAATGATGGAGATCAATTGCTTTGCTTGGCTTCCCCCACAGATTTTTAAAAGAATGACTGAACACGTAATAGAACCAAGATTCAAATACAAAAGGTTGAGCCAAAAATTCACCATTCTGAAAAGCTACTCTACAACTAAAAATGCACTAAAACAAATAATTCTGGCAATCCCCGAAGGAATACCACCTTTCTCATGAAAGAAAGTTTCTAAATAAATATTAAGTCAATCTAGACTCAAAACAAGTCTTACATCTGAATAAATTGCTATGATATCAAGTAAGCAGAAAACTACTTGAGTGGTTCATAAAGAAACAGCCATTGCAAATAAAATAGAAAACCAAACTCAAAATGAACAACTTATATTGATTGCTTGAATGTATAAAATTTAAGTAGGAAAAAGGTAAAAATCCAAAAAGAAAAATGATCACATAAACAAAGCAAATCTTATCAGGCAGCAAGACTGGTTAGCACACGGCAGCGACAAGCAATCTGTGGAAAAGAATCTCCACACCTCTCTGGTTCCTGTTAGGCAAAAAGTGGGGAGGGGAGGGGGTGGGGGACATTTTTATCTACAGTCAGTTAAACAAACAGTGGGGAAAGGGTATATCTCCCAGAGCACACTGGTTAACTTAACTATAAATGCTAAATTTGAACTTCTTTCTTTCTTTACAAAGAAAAAGAAAAATTATGTGCGTGTAGAATATACCATCTGGTTGGCTGAACGTTGGCAGAAGTAGCGAGCGAGGCGAATGTAGAATGGCCACTTGGGGTAGGAAGAAAGGCAGCCAATTGTGATCTGACAGGGGTGGTGGTGATGGAAGTAGTAGAAGTAGTAGTTGTTGCATGGTAGTGCAGCGGAATTAGACCGCGCTTGATGGCAGGACTATCGTTCAAGTTGATTGACCGTTCATTGCAGCCAGAATCATGTTGGATAGACTAATCGGAACGAGATGTCAGGCGAGTGATGAGGTAGTGTAGGAGTCAGTAGTGGCCTGCAAATTAACCATAATGATCGTAAGCCTACGAAATTATAGGAATTCTAGCCACAAACGTCACATACTGACACCACCCGGCCGCGACAACCTTTCACAACAAAGAAAGCTCTTTGTCATAAAAACCGAGAATTAAGAAGCTAGCTGAAATGAATCTGATCACTACTGCTTATTTTTTTCTTAAACTTTTTTTTGCAACAATGGTCTTCTACTGTAATTAATATTAAAAAATTTGAAAGGGGTGGAGCACAATAACCAACCAGGAGGTACAACAATTCCCCAATAATGTGTTCATCAAAGGGTGCAACTGAATCCTCATAAAATGAACACTCCTAACAAGCCATCAAAAATCTGAAACTCCAACCCCACTTCAAAGAAGGAAGAGGAAATTTCACAGGTGCATGACATTCTACTGTTACTTTAATCTAACAAAAACGTGAAGTCAAAATGAACTTAACCACTCAAGCTTCAAGCATGAAACTCACATCACAGTGCAAATGAACTGAAATTTAAGAAGTGAGAAAATACAAACAATGAACAAAAATGTGATCAGATGTTAATCTGAATCAGACAAAAGGGCAATCCAGCTCCCATCACAAATAAACAAAATAATATAAACCCAAATTATAAAATAAATTTTCTTAGAAACAAACAAGTGGCCTTACAATACTTTTTCAGAGTAAGTTCGTTGTAAGTCTTTAAAACTCTAATAATTACAAACTACATAATTTAATCTTTGAGATAGATTTCACTCAAAAATACCTGAGTGACAAGAATAAACCCAAACAAAATAAAAACAACCTGCATCTAGCAACACTTACAGGCACTCAAAAAGTGGCTGTTTATGAGAACCGTGAGATAATCAGCGCCTAAAGTAATTATCATCCAAGGTGGGTAAAAAAAGGCTCCTTACAACTTCGAAACTTACCTTGATCTGCCTTGTCTGCCACGGCCAAAGCCACCACCGCCGCCGCCGCCACCACCGAATCCACCACGGTTCCGACTGCGCCCATTAGACATCTCCACACGCATCCTTTCCCCACAACAACGGCTGAAGATGGGATAAATCATTGGTTAGTTGATGGCTCTTCCTTTACTGTCAAAAAAATCACATAAAATTGGGCAACTTACGTTCCGTCCAATCCTCTCACTGCATCCTCAGCATCCCTCGGGTCCTCGAACTCGACAAATGCAAAACCAGGTGGGTTCCTTGCCACCCACACATTGCGGAGTGGACCATATTTGCTGAAGGCAGATTCAAGCTCATGCTTGGAGGCGTTGTTGCCCAAGTTCCCAACGTACACCTTGCAGGAGAGCTCCCACTCACGATGGCGAGACATGGTTAGAACCTAAACATAAATAAAGAGTCAAAATCATAATCCTGTAACAAAAAAGTTAAGTTTCCTAGAAGCACTGGAACAAACCAGAGAAAAAAATACGAATACTAAAGAGTCAAATGCAATGAACCTAGTTCAAAAGTCAGAGAGACTTGTTAAGCCAGGGCCAATGATGGCCTTGGTAGAGCCTAAACCGTCACCTACGGGAAAGCCGGCAATGCGCGACTAAAACCGAGAGAGATAAGTTAAGCGGGTCCGGCAAAGCAAGAACGATAACGGGCAGAAGGGCTTTCACAGGAGTGGACCGAACAGAGGCCCACATCAGTAGTTTGCTGAAAAATCAATAACAGGGCTTTTCTGAACGATGCTCAGGGCGTTTTACGCAGATGCGCAGTCTTCGTCTACTAACGAATTCGGTACCAAACAAACCGATCAGTCGCCGGGTGGGTACCAAACCGCACACCATAAGCGACTGGTATACCCACAAAACAGGTACAAACAAAAAGGAGCCCTGCAGAACAATAAGTATCGTAAAACGTACAAAATTCGGCGGCTGCGGGACCCTGCCTAAACATGGCGGTGCGACCGAGAAATGTTGCGTTGAAGCCCCGAGGAACAGCCGCAACCAACAGATAAACATGCAGTATAGATAGATATTGTGCGTACCTTAAAATAACTTGAAAGCCGATGCTAATAAAAAGTGACGAAGCACAAGTAAAACTACAGAACCGACAACGGTCCAGCCACGGCAAGCTCCAGAATTTTAGATGACTTGCTTGCGCGTCTCCAAACCAACCAACCACAAATGAGAAAGATGGCGCAGGGAGGAAACAAGGCTAAACTTCACAACTTCCCGCGAGATGGCGCTAGGAGCGACGCCGGAAGTCTTGGGTTCGAAAGTAGCAGCAAAGAAAGTAGCCTTATTAAAGAGTGAAATCGACCAATTCAATCTGAAAAAAGTATATTTTCTGGTCAGCCCTGGCGGCTTCAAGGATTTATGGTTGCTTAGACAAGAAAAAGGCGGTTTTGATTTGGCCCAAATTGGCGGTATCTTGCGGAAGAAGAATCAACCTAGCAGTGAGCAATGGAAACGCGTCAGTTCTTTTGATGATGTTTCGAATTGATGGAATAAAAGTTAACGATCTCCTATTCTGAAATAATTAGAAAAGTAATGAGACTCGATCGATTTTCGAGTAATTCGTTCCGTGCACGACTTTGCTTGGAAATCCAACCAGCATAAATGTCAGCTAGCGCTCCCTGTCGGGCTTTCTCACAAACAGTTTCGCTTCGTGTTGTTTAGAATTATTTAGATCGAAGGTCAAGTAGGCTAGTGCCGTGACAACAAGTTTCGAGCTGGGGTTTTTATTAATTTGAGCACCATTCTGTGTCAATTTTCACTTCTACCCCACGTAGAATGTACCCCGCATATTCGACGATTTGATCAGTCCTTGAAGACTGAGGATACAACCTACTTCGAGAGGTGAGTGGTGTTTGTTTTGATAAGCGATTTTTTGGGGGGAAGTAGGTCTCGAGTCTCGAGCAGCTTAGCCTACACCATAATATTGAATTAGGCTTTAGCCTATTTCAGGATTTGAAACTTACTTCATTTTCGTCTTTCCCGTGTCTCACCATCAAGAGAAATTCATTCGCAGTGGTTTGCCTCCAACAAACATGCCCAAAAGTTGTCGGGTCTCTGGAAGTGTTGTGAATATGCTCTCATAATGTCATTATCTCATAGAAAGTTGGAAAACGTTATTCTGCGAATCTGTGATATCTCTTAGACGTAGCAAGAACGTGTGTGCATTCACTTGCACCTCATCTGTGTGAGTTCATGAAGTTTCTGTAGAATGCCACTTAAAGATATTATTGAATTTATATCTCCTATCCTGATGTCATGTTCTGCTGCCCCAAGTTGGAGATGAAACATAACCCTATCTCCGTTCTCACAATTCGCTCTTTTTCATAGGTCTTTGCCTGCTTTCTGTGAGTTTTACTTCCAGGAGATTTTAGTTTTTCGTGCAATATACTCACTTACGGTTACATTATATGAATTTTAGCGGTTATCTTGCAATTTTTTAAGGTCAGGTTATGATTTGGTAATGAGAAGTGTCTGACAAAATATGTCCTTTTAAAGATTCTCCTCTTCATTATCGGCTGATTATTCAGCTGACACAATTTTCAATGGCACTTTGAGTAATAATTTTCCCCAGGTATTTCCAGTTCTTACGTAAGGGGCATCTTGTTTTTACCTTTTTAATATTCTGCACAAATGTAGTCCTATCTCTAACTATTCTTTCTACTTCCTTCTTTTCTCATTCTAAACAATTTTACTCTCCATTTTATTTGAATCTTCAAATTTCTACATGTTTTGGTACATTCCCTATTGCGCTATTGCTATTTATTTTGATATCTGAAGTTTTTGTTATATATGCAATCTGTCTACCTGTGTCCAGTAACATATTAATCTTAGTTCTTGATTGTAATTTGGTTTGCTCCAATATTTGTCTTTCTCATGCTAATACGTTTGTTGTTTGATTTCCAGATTGCTTTGCTGTATTTGCCCTCTGCCAGTTAGGGGCATCCCGAAGTGGAAAACTAACCGTGAGTATGATTATAATCTTCCTAATCAGCAACTGTGATTGTGTTCAGCTACAGCAATAAATCTGTCAATGCCATTTTTATTTCAGCTTACTTCACCATGGGAACTAGCAGTTTTCTCCTCTGCCCGACATGGCCAGGCTGACAACAAAAGCCATGTAGGCAAAACAATAAGCGCTTCAGCGCCTTTGATCCGAAATGGATGATATTAATGGCGAATACCATGAGGACTTCTTCATGAAGGAGTTCCTCATGGAGCCTTCCAAACCAACAAGAAACATGTATAGCAACAATCTTGTGCATCAGCAACCCCAACAACAGCGGCAGCCTTCTCAGCTTCAGCCCAACTTGATGTACGGCTCCAGTTCTGGAATGTGTGCCGTGCCTAATGCTGCTACCTTCTCAAACTCCAACTGTTATGAGAGCAACGGGGCTCTTGATTCATTATCTATGCACAATGCCTCAAGTGTGGGCACTCCTATGGTTTCACCCCACTACCTGCCCAACCTTGCATCACACTTGCCAGGAATGTCTTCCTCAAGTCTAAATATGCCCAGCTCCTCTTCCCGTATGGGATTGCCAAGTAACAACGCTGGGCTGAGCAGCAACAACTTGGGCATGCCTGTTCAGGCACAAGCTGCTCTTGGTATGAGTTTGAGTGGGAATGGTCCTGGTGCCAACAGGGTTCCATATAACTCCTCATCTAGCCAATATGCTGCATCATCGTCTAGTGTCATGGGTATGCATCCCAGTGGCACTATGCATGGTAACAGCTCCAGCAACATCCCAATGCACAACCCATCACCAAACAGCATAGGTATGCATTCGAACTCATCGGCTGGACTGGGGCTGCATCAAGCTGCATCTACAAACAGTATGAGCATGCACTCATCCTCATCAAGTGCAATGGGTATTCACCCGTCGTCTGGGATGCATTCAACACCGTCCCCCAGTGGGATGGGCATGCACTCCAGCCCCTCCCCAGTCATGCATCCTGGTACCTCCCCCAGCAACAGGGGAATGCACTCCAGTGCCTCGCCAAGTGGAATGGGCATGCACTCCAGTGCGTCTCCCAGTGGTATGGGAATACGTTCCAATCCTTCCCCTGCTCTGCATTCTGGTGCTTCTCCTGGTGGCATGGGAATGCACTCCAGTGCATCACCAGCAGGCATGGGCATGCACTCGAATATGCCCAGCCCTGCCTCAAGTATGGGGAAACCTAGTGCCTCTCCGGGCAGACCCTCAATGCCCATTGCCTCCCCCAATGTGTTAAACATGCAATCAACCACAGCAAGAAGTCCCATGGCAGCATCAGCATCACGAAGTCCTTATCAGTCATCTCCAAGTCACTTTTCCAATACATCACCTGCAAACATACCAAGTGCATCTCCAGGTCGTCTTAGTAGGCCGAGCACTTCCCCAGGGAGAATGAATATGATGACTACTTCTCCACTCAGTGGTCAAGACATCAATGGTGCAAGTTACAGTGCGTCGTGTAGTGAAGGAAATTCCCCTGCTGGATTAGAGAGGCTCTCATCTGGTGTAACTGTTAGTGTGACTGAAAGGGGTGGGGAATCTTCAAATCAGATGAGACGGACTCCTCCTCTTCAGGATGTGTTAACCATCACTCCCGTGCAGGACCCCTATGGACAAGCTGGAACCTCTGGCAAAAAAGACCCAACACAAGTGAAGAAAGTCCGTCGGAAGAACACTGATGAACCGGGATCTAAGTCAAAGAAACGGAAAGCGGTCAGAGCTCAACTTGTTTCTTCTGATCCTCGAGGAGAGGCAGGTTTTGGTGCACCTAGTCTTTATGATTTATTAACTCAGGAAAATCCTTGTGGTGAAGGATCATTGCTCAGTGTGGGTGAGATTCCTAGTGGTACTGCACATTATGATATTACTACTGGTCAAGGTACAGTGAAACGCGGACGAAAAAGGAAATCTGGTGAAGGGGCTCCTAAACCCTCTACTAAACAGCGGACTACAGTAACCTACCAGAGCCAAATTTCAAGTCAAAATGGAATTAAACTTAAAATTAAAAAGTCAGAACCGGTGAAAAAGCCTGCAAAGCAGAGAGTCCGCAAAAAGAAAGGCAAGTCTGCAGACTCTGATTCTGATGGTGGTCATCACAGACGGGTCAATCACAAATCTGTTGTGGAATCAAGTGATGATGAGGGGAGAGAACAGAGCCCATGGGGCACTGAAAGTCTACCAAAGAATGTTCTGCACAAAATATTCAAATATGTTTCTCATGATGAGGGATGTGTACCTTTCCTTGTCAGGTAAGATTGTGATCTGGAATACTTTGCCATAGGCTGCTAACAGAACTGTATTGACCTGTGTTATGTTTGATTTACAGGATGCAACGAGTCTGCAAACAATGGAGAGAAGTAGCAATTACCCCAGATCTATGGCATACTATAGAACTTTGTAGTACATGGGTACGAGACAGGGCCAAAAATCATCACACTTTCCGCTGGCTGTGTGAAAATAGATTGACCAGTGTTCGTGAGCTCAATCTAGGTATAACCTCATAACATCTTGTCTCAAAATAAAAGTTCATGTTTGAAGCAATCACGCATTTGAGAGCTTGCTAATGTCTGCGTTGTACTTGTGTTTTGTTTTAGGTGGATGGAAATTTTCGGGTATTCCTTCTCTTCTAGATGTTATTGCCAATAATTGTGTGGAGCTCCGGGCTCTCAATTTAACAGGCTGGCAGGGGCTCCATATAGAACATATTTTATTCATTGTTACTAACTGTCATAAACTGAAGAAGTTGGACCTCTCTGGTGTCAATGTATGTGCTTATGCGTGCCTAGAAATTATTTTCTTCTTTTAACCATGTGTTTTGGTCTCAACCTTTATTTCCTTTTATTCTAGCCTGAGGCACACAATAACAAAGGTGCTGTGTCTTTGAGTTCAATGCAACATTTGACATCTGTCATGGGAGATCGTCTCACCCATCTTGTTTTGGCAAATAATAAACTAGCTGGTGTTCCGCAGATAATTCAAGCTATTGCTGTGAGTAAAATTTCAACAAACTTATTGTCTTCTTTTTATTTTCTATTTCATAATATTTGTTTTGTTTACTTTTTTTACTTGCTTAGAGAGCCATACAGCTCCACCTTAGGGCTGTATATTACACCCAAAATTGATGATAATTGTTAATGACATTACATCTTTCTTTACAGGGATCATGCTCGAACCTTGAGGTTTTAGATATGTCAAGTGTTCGTACAGTAGCTCATGCTACTGCCCAAATTCATATTGAAAAGCTTCAGGAAGGCTGTTCAAAACTTAGAGTCCTTAGAATAACTAATAGTCAGTTTGCACTTGCTCCTGTTACTATCAAAGAACAGGTAGGATATATATTACATTCTTATTTCATGTATTTAATTTTTTTGTTTAACTTTATCCTAATTAATTATTTAATCATTCAATGCAGGTCGAATCCCCAGGATTTCCTAATTTAGAAGAATTAAGTGTTGCATCTCCTCATGGTCGCATGGATAGCCTTGCAACTTCTCAACCTTTCATTGATGATGATGCCATTGGCAGAATTCTGAAGACCTCAAATAAATTGCGCTTGCTTGATGTGCGCGGATGCAGCAAAATCACAGATTCAAGTTTAGTTCGAATTCCTGCTTGGGACCTTGAGCATTTATATCTCTCTGGTATGTGTGATACATTTGTTATGTTCCCAATAGCAATTAACTGAGGTGTGAAAAGAAATCTGAAATATGCCTATTCATTCTATTTTAGGGTGCTATGCCACAAGAATATCAGGCTCAGGTCTGGAACTTATAACTCAAAAATGGGGTCACAGCCTTGTGGAACTTGATTTGGCCTGGAGTTCTGCAACCGAAGCATTAGACATGGCGGTCAGTGCTTTAGCTGAAGTGCCAGAAAAAGGAATTAGATCACCACTGAGGTTTGTATGAATAATGTAAATAAATCAGTCATGAAAGCTGCACTCTACCTCTACCACTGTTATTTTTCATTTCCAAATGTTGTTTCAGAATTTTGAATTTGTGCGGATCATCAGTCAGCCTTGAGCCAGTCAAGGCCGTTCTCATAAACTGTCTGAATCTTTTTTCCTTGAACTTGGCTTCATGTCGTGCGCTACCCCGTGGAATGAAACGACACTATGAAGGCATAGAACTTGTTGAACTCCGTTCCCAGTATGAAGACAAGCCTCGTAAACCTAAAGGTGAAGAATGCCACTCTCACAATGAGGAGGAAACTGCTGCCGGCGGTAGTGCTCACGTTGATACTGTAAACGAAGTGAAATCTGAGCCAGGACCTGATTCACCTGATCTTGAGATTCAACAGCAAATCAAAGAAGAATCTGATAATGATGGTGATGATCCTGAGGCTGAACTGAACCTTGACTCGGATCCAGAACAAGATCAAGCTTATCAAGATAATGACAATCATGACCTGGTGGGAGATCAAAGGCAAGATAGTTACTCTAAAGATTATGGGAAAGATTTAGAGACTTACAGAGTTAACAAGTCAGACGTTAAAGAAGAAGATTCCTTCTCTGGAACGAATTCACCTACCATGGGTTATGATGAACCTGACAGACTCAAGACTGACTCCTTCTTGCCAGAGGACCCTATACACCAAACCCAGCCCTCTGAACCGCCTCCCATGTTAGATGATGAAGTAATGACTCCTGAAGATTTGCAAATGGTGGCAGAGGCGCTAGCAAACACCCCTGATGCTGACCGCATTGCAGCAGCTGCTGAAGCTGAAGCGGGTATGACCCCCACAGGACGCTCTACTCCTATTGCTGCAAGCTCCACTCCCCATTCTGGAACTTACTCGGAAGCTGGTACTCCAGGACCGTCTGGAACATTGTCTGAGGCGGGAACCCCCGGCCCCGCTGGCACTTTCTCTGAAGCCGGTACGCCTGCACCTTCTGGAACCGAGTCCGGGACACCTGGCACCCCAGGGACAGCAACCACATCAGGTACCACTCCTCAGCAAGGAACTGATGGGGATGGAGAGCTTTTGGCATTAGCTCAAGATGTTAAGTACAGCTTAGACAACCACCTCAATTTCTCATTTTCGGAACTAGATTGTGGTACAACCCTCCAGTGACTTAACACAAAGTGGTCCCACCAGCTAGTGTTTTGGGTTATCCTCGGTGTCCATGTTAACCAATTCTTGGCCACACTGATAGAACCTGCATAGTGTGCCTGCACTTGCTTGTTCTAAGGCTGTGGCTTTATGGAGTGTATATCTGTGATCCTGTTTCTGGTTAGGAATGTTCTCCCAAGAGAAGGTTCCTTGTGCAATTATGGTATCGGATTCAAGAGAGTGTTAGCCCTTATTTAGTTCAATTTTGTTTTCCAATGTCTGTAGGTCAGTGGGCTTCGAGCTAATTTTGTTGTGATAAAATTTGTGTTCCAACCCACTCTTCACTGCCCATTACCCTGAAGTTTGTTGTTCCCAGGAGCTCTTGGGTAGCTCCATCATTATACAATTCTAGTATCGAAATTGAAACATCACTGATAGATAATTTTCTAATTCCAAGTTTCTCTTGTGTAACATAATGTACAGAAAGTTTTCCTTGTTTTGCAAAGATTTCCTTTGTTTTCCTTTTACAAGCTTACTGTGAAGAAATGGATGGAATAGTGTGATATTTGGTAATTTCTTTTAAGGGTGGTACATTTTTGTCTTAAATGCTGCTGTTTTGTGGTGAATGATGAATTTCTTCATCAACCCTGATGAAAGTTCATGTGATTTGTCTGGCGTGTTTGAATATATATTTATTTGGATGTAGAATATGTTTATGTTGGCATTATATATTTTTATATAATTTGTATATTTTTAATTGTTTTATAACTGTTCAGGTCTCTTTGACATAGTTATGTTTGATTGAATGTTACCCATACGAGCAATCTCTAGCTGTAAACAAAGCCTTCTCAATCTATTTTTATTGCAAAGTTATTTTGCATGTCCAAATGTTATGTTTCCGATTTGTTCAGTTTCTTCCCTTTCCTGTCATTAATCTCACTAAGGATGTTTAATGTTGTTTTTAGTTAATACTTTTTTAAGTGTGCAACTATTGCTTGTCGTGCCTGATTGCAAGTGATCTTACACCACTTAAAAAGGCTTTGATGAGCCTCTTCCAAACTTTTGTCCCTCAGGACACTGTTTTTCTGAGACAAGCAGGCTCAAGGTTGAGAGTCATATCATTTGTGTGAAGGTATGTCTCTTTCTCTTCTCATTTTCCATTCACCTGTAGTATTTTGATTTGTGCCCTATTTTATGTGCCATGTGGTTTTTAACCTGTGTCAAAAGCACACATTTCTTTTGCATTTTACAATGTTGAGGTTGTTCTTTCTTTTTAAAAAAATCTCTTGTTCCTCTCTTGTTTTCCTTTTTTTGAATTTCAAAAATCCAGGTTGGAATATTTCTTATCTGGAGTTAGGAAGCAAAGCTCATGATGTCGCCATGCTTTTGTGTATATTTTGGAGGAAATCCATTCATGCATTCATGAAAGAGTTGCTTTGAGAAGTCATTTTTAATGTGGGCCATACATTATGTTTTTAGGGAAGAGTTCCTCCTCTCCCCCCCCCCCCCCCCCATTTTTCCCTCCCCTTTCAGGAGTCTCATGTGTTCATGTTGTCTCATTAGTGCTCATCTCTTCTCCAAAGTGTGTCGAAGAAATGAGCTTCGCTAATGTGAAGTCAATTTAGTTTGTTTGCAGATCCCAGTGTGGTGTTGTAGTTTACATTGCACTGTTCATTTAATTTTTTTTTTTTTTCTGCTTTTCTTTATCCCATGAGTATTGGATTGTACTCACTCTCTGAAACATTGACCTTGCTTGTTGTATGTTTGTGATTTATCATGTAGTCTGTCCTTAATCCTGAAGTATTTACTTGTGTCATCAATGAACTGTTATTATCTGAAGTTCGATACTGTAGCTTTAGAAAGATTTGACCTCTCAGAGTTGCTCTTTGATGAAAATTGACCTCCTGTTAAACTTTTTAGTCTAACTTTAACTTGTATGAATTTGATTGCATTTATATTTGGTTGAGCCATTGATTGATTGCCTTTTGCTCACTTTGGTTTTTATGTAGATTGTGAGGCTTCACATGGATGCATGTGTTTTTTGTTGGGTTTTCTTTTCTTTTTTTTTTGCCATTAGACTTAAATTTTTACTGAAAGTGATATTGTTTTTGATTTGTCCGAAAAATAACCTGATATGTGAACTTTTGGATACATTGCTGGTAAATTTAACGGTACCTCCTTGGAACTTCTCACCTGTTGACTCCAGCCATTTACATTATTTCCCTTTTGTTTCAATCAATGGCCGTGGATAATTTATTGTTACTGTTCCGTTGATCCCTTTATTTGTCCTCCATATGGGAATTATTTGTATGGTGTCCACAGCACAATACATGTCTCATGTGTATTCCTGTAATAAAATTTTCTCTTGCTTCCTTCCCAAACATTTCATATTTGTCTTCTTTGCTGAATTTAATTTCTGTTGTTGATTTTGTTGTTGACTGATGTACAAATTTAATGCCAGCTTTTTCATTGTAGTCGGGCATTTCTGATTTTAACCTGATCTTAAAATTGTGTCATACTGTACTTTGAACTCAGCAGTTCTTCCATGCTGCTGGTAAATTGTTGAATTTCTAATTTTGCCTTTAAAAGTGAAGTGTGCGGTGTAGAAGCAATACGCTGTCATAACTTAGCAAACTGTAGGTAAATAATTTTGTTTTATAGATCAACCAAAATATAAAGTTAACATTGACGCATAAATGTACTGTAATGTACTGCTTTGCTTCCCTCTACAGATTAAGGATCACAAGTAGTGGAAGACCTTCATATTTTGGTGTGTCTCTAGAACGTAAATTAGATTTTATTAAATGAAACGTTGGCGTTGTTAAGAAACATTTGTTGCCTGACACATGTTGTTTGATGTACCAACACCACCTCAATAATAGAATTTAGTGACTGTTATAATGATGGGGTATAGTTGTGTTAAAGTTTCCGTTATGGAGAAGCATGTGAGAGAGTATATGCTGTACATGCATGTTGAATTGTTAATATTCACATACGTAACCAATTCAAGTACCTTACACATCTGTACATGTGTCAACTTATTTATTGTACTAATTAAGGAGAAAATGTTAAATGTATCATATTACATAATGTAAATATTGTTGTATTGCTTGCCAATATATATATGCCTTATTGTAAATTTTATTCAGATTTATAAACTTCAATAATATGTGTACATTTGTTAGTTGTTCAACTTTTACTCACATTTTTGTTTAAGAAATTGTACATTTGTCGTCTAAATCAATAAATGGAGGTCTTGTTATTTTTAAAACTGTGTTGTCATTTTATACTTCATTTTCTCAGAAGAAAAAAAAAACAGTTGCTCAGCTGAGCTTGTTTAATGTGTTAAACGATGGAAACTCAATGTGAAACATGTGAGTGCTCAGTTAGGAAGTGCAAAGAATGAAACGAAAAATCGTTTTTCAATATTGCATTATAATTCAAGATTTACCCCTGATGGGTAGGGTAAACTAATTAACATTTTCTAAAATTTTCTAATTTTCTACAACCAAGTCAAAAAGCTGTTTTGGTTACTTCACTAAATCATGGCCTTAAGACTTGGCTAAACCTATCAACAACCTTCGTATACATACAATAAATTAAAATTAACAGGGTACGAATCTAACTAAGACTACTGTACAGATAACCCCAGTGCATGGGAGCCTGACCTACAATCACACGAGCCCACTGACTGATTATAAATAAGGTCACTGGGTACCTGGAGTGTTAATATCACAGTTTTCCAGGGCATGATGAAAACAAAACAACCAAATAATAATTCTTCATAAATAGATGGGGTGATGAGAGTCCCTTTTTAAACAGAATAATGAAAAACATCTAGCAAATGCTGAAAGAGAATGAAGGATTCAAACAATAATTGTCTTTGAAGTCCCCTTTAGTTTGATGAGTTGATGAGATCTGATAGCAAAACATGACATGAAAAGCTAATTTATTTTAGTTCTTCACTACACTACTTCCTGGAAGGGCAGATCATACTAAAGTTGATGAAGTTAAATTACCACAAAGCTGTGTGTCACCTTCCAAAGACAGCAGCACACAAGTAGAGGTGACTTCTTGAGATGAAAAGTCTTATTTTCAATGAATATTTTAGTCTTAATTAAGAACATGTACTGTACACATACTTACAAAATAATTCAGTTCAATTTCATAGTAAATTACAACGCATCAGGATACTTTCAAACATTATTAACACATACAAAAACATACCTACATATATACATAAATGTACACACAGACACAGACATACATACACATTATCAAGAAAACTAAATTTGGTCTTTAATTAATATACAAATCTTTACACAAATACTTATTGCAGTAATCAAACCAAAATCTCCATACTATTGTTTAAGGATGTTGTATCATATGACGAAGATCTTCTTGATCTACTTGAAGTAGAGCTTGAAACTACGGTAGTAACCACACCCGACCCAAGATCTTTCCCTGGGCGCACAATAGCCACACTCCCAGTGGGGGATGAATGTTTTGACCGGAGAGGAGGCAAGCGGAGGCGCAGCAAGCTCCAATTCTTGAACCAAAGTGATCGCCTTTGGTGCCACTCAATAATCGGGGCTAATCTAATAAGATTTGATAGGCTTGCCTCACAGCCAGGAGGAAGTGCCTATAGATAAGAAACACAATACATAGGTCAGTAAAACTTAATTCTCTTGAAATTTGTGAGATTTGTTTGCACATCATTATTGTTTTACCTGTAGCGACACACACACTGGCTGCGGGTGCATCCTTGTTAATTGATTCAGAAGGGAGCCGAGGACACCAGAGTCCCAGTAATCAGCGTCATCTAATTCTTGAAGCGCACCCAGTCTGTGAGCAGGGAGCGCCGATCCACCAAGCGTGTTTGCTACAACTGAGCCGCTTAGGGCTTCAACCATTGATGGCCTGATGACAGCAATCAATCTACGGCATCGCCTCGCTGAGTCTCTCAAATCAGCAGCACCTAGGATCAATAATTATAAGTCACAAAAACCAGTAAAAATTTGCACTCAAAACACTTAATCACTGGAAATGGAACTTACAGTCATAATCAGCATTTTGACATATTTGGAAGGAGTTACAAGTATATCCATAACGATTCTTCAAAGTGTTCAATATTTCAAATGCAAAAGCATTGTCTTTTTCAAGGTAAGTGACAAGGACATCATAGTCTTTGCCATCTGCAGTAAACAAAACATTATTATTAAGTGCTAACACATACTAAAAATTCAGGCTTTGGTAAGGATAAAGTCAAGTTACCGTGCAAATCCGGCCGCACTAGTCGATACCGGCAGAACAACGCCAACAGTCCCAATCGATGCCTGAATGCAGTTGCAACAACGGCTATTGCCAAGAAAACAATAGCAGCCCAAGCAAGACGGCGCCATATTTTAGGGCTGTAGCCAAGGGGCTCTGTGGGTTCTTAAAGAATAAAAAGGAGAGAAAGAAGAAAATTGTAATAAAATGTCAATCAATTGTATCTTTTAAACAAAATTAATAAGGGATCTTATAATTTTTCATAACTCACCAGCTTCACGAAGCCATAGTTTAAGAAGTATAGCCTGGTCTCCTGCATTGGAAACCCTACATTCGTAAGGTCCTAGGTCTTCCTTCTTCACCCCTTTGATTGTCAAGTATGCCCCAAGAACTTGATTGTTCTCCCTGCAAGAAAAAAAAAACACGTTAGTTCCATAAATTGAGGTGGAAAAAATCCTCTTAATTATTGAAAAACTGTTTACCTGGCCACTGATCTTAGAACAAAACGTCTTTGCTCTTCTACAAAAGATGTATTCATTCCCACGCGATTCCAAGTGATTCACTTTGAGCATCGGGAAGGTCAATGCTCCCTGGACAAAGAGGAATAACAAATTTTAAAACAAACGTCGCAAAGGCTGAGAAACAAACAATTTTTTTAAAAATGCAACTCACCCACGAAGGCCTCGCAAAACAAGCGTGCAGTGGACCCTATTTGGACCAGCTGCTCGTCGGGCAGCTCGTAGGTGGGCAGCGGGGCGCCCATGTAGCTGGCCGCATCTGGAACATGACCACACGCCGAATCACACATCCGCACACATCCGTTCAGTCGCGTTGCTGCTTCTTTGCGTTCTCTGGCGTTCTCTTCTAGGAAGACGACTTGCGTCACGCCGTCACGCCCCCCGTTCCCTCCCGGCCCTACTCCTACCCTTCCCTGGCCGCCACCGCACGGCCAGTGAGTCATGCCACGACGCGCCCTCCAACCCCTGCGCGGGCCCCCGCCACGAGGCGCCACAAGGCGCCACCCTGCTGCGGAGGGAAGTCCGGGACCCGCAAGAGTCGCGTCGGCGTCCATGAGCACGTAGGTGGCGGAGGTGGCGGTCCCCGAGGATGGAATTCGAAAGGGGCAAGGGGGAGGGGGCAGCCGGCGGCCCTGCGAGCTTGGCCAGGCTTGCGGCGAGGCTCCGCTGGCGTTGGTCAGGCTCGGCCAGGCCGTATTTGAATATTGAATAATGCGGGGGAGCCAGAGGCTGCAAGCGGCAGGCGGCAGTGCAGGCGGCAGGCCGCTCTGCAGTGCTCTGCAGGGGCGGCGTCCGGAAAGTGCAGCAGGACTCTACGGCGCTGCAGCGCTGCAGGTTCCAGAGCGCGTCCCCGCCCCGTCTGTGGACTCCGGTGACTGGAGCGGCAGAGCGGCAGGGAAGGCAAGGCAGGGGCACGCCGGCACGCCGCGGAGACGGCCCGGGTCGTGCTCCGGTATCGTCGTGCTAAGGCTGTGCTGCAGGCCCTGCAATGGGCGATGCGGTCGGTATGCAATGTGGTGCGCTGCCGTCGCGGCGGGCGGGGGGGCGGGGCGGGGCGGGGGGCGGGGCGGGGCGGGGCGGGACGGGGGCCAACATCGAACAAGAGCATGAGGACCATCGAGGACCCTCGAGGACCGAGTGGCCCCCTGCCCGGCCGGCTCAGCGGCTCAGCCACACACAAAAGCACGGGCTCATTGGGTTCGCGCTGGTCGCTACATAGTTCGAATCGAACCGCCGCCACTGCCGGCGAAACGGCGCAAAATCACGCCAAGGTCAAGAATCAAGAGCACGCGTGTGCCGTGCGCGCTGCGCGCTCGCCTGGATTTGACATTGACGTCAGAACCGGCGGAGGGAAAATCAGTGGTCAAAGAGGAGGGGAGAGAATTACCCCGCGAACGGCGCTTTGAGTTGTGTATAATGAGTGCGGGTCTCGAAGCGAAGCCACGCGACCGAGAGGCAGGTCGCGGACTCGAGGTAAGGCAGCGCGGGGTCGTAACGACGAAGGTCATAAAGACTCCTTTTTCTAGCGCCAGTAAACAGGCGCGCCTCTCCGCGCGGCGCCGCGCCGCAGGGATTCGAACCCACGCCTCGCCTCGCCAGCGCCGTCACGGTAGCTCGCTACCCGTCCCACCCACTGCTCCCACTGGCCAGCGGCGCCTGCTCCGCCTCCGTTCCGGCGTTCCGGTCGGCGGAAAAATCAGATTAGCTTTCCCGGAACGACGCCGCTGCACGCCGCTCGCGGCGAGGACATCGTGCCCCCATTGATCTGCCTGCCTGCCTACCCTACCGCTAGCTGTTTTGTCCATGCTATGCCGGTCTACGCGGACAAATTATAGATTAGACAATATTCCCAGGTTAAGTAGACCTTGTACCATATGTACATTTGTACAAAGTCGTAGTACAACGGCCCCATGTGATGCTAAGTCCGATAAGCCCTAGCCTTACCCTGTACCCACGCGCGCGTGCACCCCGTCCGTGTAGGGGTGCTGGCAGTGTACCTACCGATGACGCTGAGGGCCACGTTGTGCATGTAGGCGTGGCTGTCGTTTCGCACGAGGCAGGAATAGTTCCCGCCGTCCTTCGGCGCCGTCATCTTCGAGTACACCGTCTGGTTGGCGGACTCCGGGTACAGGATGAAGTTGCTGACGTCGCCCGGCCAGGGGTAGGGGCGCCCGTCCTTGAACCTGGAACACAACAAGAAGGAGGGTGGTCAGGACAGTCAGGACAGCGTCGCACTGTAGTGCAAGGGGCACAAGGTGAGCGCGGTGACGCACGGCCCGGCACGCGCCGCGTCCTGCACTCTGCAGGGCACGGCAGGGCACCTGGTGGCACTTCGAGGAAGCGTTGCGACGCAGGTGGAGCGAGGCGGGGCGACTCGATCAAGCGTTCCCAGTGATTCACCTAAGCGTTGCGCGAGCCGGCGAGGCCGACCGCAACCAGCGACGCCGGCAAGCGGCAAACTGGCGGCCGCGGACGGGGATCGAACCCGCAACTGGTTGCACTGTCCCCGGGCCGGCCGTGTCCCGCTGTGCCCGCCAGGAGGGAGGACAGGGCAATCCGGGCCGCTGGCGCCGGCGCCGCGCGCGGTCAAGCTCTCTGGTTCTCACGCGGCTCCTTCGCGTGATCGGCTCAAAACACGGCAAAACAGAATCGACAGCCGACGCACAAAAACAGGAAAACTCCGGCAAAGCAAAGCGCCGCGTCACGTTGGACCGTGAATAATTTCACCACCTGCCCGCGGGCTGAGGCTGAGAGAGAGAGGAAGAGAGCCCCTCGACGCCGCACCAGGAAAACTGGAAAGCTCCGAGGAAAAAACGGAAGTTCCAGGAATATTTTGTCGATGCGGCCGAAGCCTACCGAAGCGAATCACGGTGGACCGGACCGGGGCGGACCGGGGCGGACCGGGCATGCCGGTGTCGGGGCAAGTGCCAGTGTATGCACGCCATGGCTAGCCACGGCCTGCATGGCCAGCGGGCAGATGCCCCGCCCCTACCCGGAGCGGACCGGACACGCCGGAGTAACAGCCGCCAATATCAGAACGCGGCCATGACGTCAGCGGCCACCACCAAAGAGCCCTCGGGGCCGAGGAAAGGACAGGGCTGCTTTGGTTGGAGTCCGCGAGCTCTTTTGCTTTCCTCGCTTTTTCCTCCAATTTTTTCGGCAACCCCCTCGGGCAGCGGCAGCGCGCTGAGCGCGCCACCGAGCAAACGCAATTCGCATCAGGGGCTTCCCGGAACGGGGCCGCGCTCCAGGTTCCAGGGGGGGGCGCCACTGGGAGAGGAAAACCTCGAGGGGGAAAGCACTCGCGTAATAGTCGGGTCACTGTGTCCGTAATAGCACACGTAGTAGTGTGCGTAATAGTAGCGTAATAGCCGAAATTCTCAAAATTTGATCTATTTTAGGGGTTTTTTGGTCTGTTTTCAGCTAAATCCCTATAATTTGAGGCGTAATAGAGCGTTATAGGCGTAATAGTCGGGTCGCAGGTTTTAGGAGTGATTTCCCCCTCGGAAAACCTGCGGCGGGCCGGCGGGGCGCTGGCGGAGCTTGCACAGCCGTCCGCCCCTGCGTCGTGCGTCGCGGCATCTCACGGGAACTTTGGAGCTGGCCGCAGCCGTACGAGGCAAGCCTTGGCCGAAAAGCAAAGCAGCAAACCGCACTGCGCCGACCCGCACACCACCGCACACCAATTGGTCCAGTTGTGCCGGCTCGGCCGCGGCTTCGCAGACTTTGCCGGCTTGGCCGGCTCGGCCACTCCACTTCGCTATTACAGCCCCTCGTTCTCGGAAAGCGCCTCGCCACGCCCTGCCAGCCCTGCCAGCCCTGCCTCCTTCCGACGCAAACCGTCCGGCCGGGTTGGTTGGTATCAGACGGACGGCCGGCCCGCCCAATGGGGTGGTCTGCCCCTCTCCCCGCCCGCCCCCCGTCGACTCGCTCTGTTATTTCCTGGCGTTGCCGTGCGTTTCCAACGACTCTGTACATATTCCTCTCGGGCCGATTACAGGGATTACGCGGCCCGGCGGTGCCCGGCGCTGGTCCGCGAGGCGCGAGGCGCGAGGCCTGCAAACCACCGGCCTGCCCGGCGCAGCGCGCAGCGCGCAGCGCGCAGCCAGTACCAAGTACTAGGCGTAAGGAGAAGACGCTGGCTGCCAGCACCGCCAGGCCGGCCGGGGGTTGGGCTCGGGGCGTCACGTCACATTCCTGGCGTCGCGTCGCGTCTTCTGGAAGTCCGCCCCGCCGCCCCCCGCGGGGTGCCTTACCCACGCACCCAGCACCTCATGAATGAGTCAGAAAAATAGTGTGGCGGGTACGAGAGTCCCCGAGCCCAGCTGCTGAAGAAGAGCACCGGGACAGCCCCTTGTGATTCATGGGCCCGGGCGAGCAGGACAGCGCGAACTGAATATTTCAGACACGTCGTCAAAAACACGCTCTGGCTGACACGCACGGGCCAGCAGCAGCACAAAGCAGCGCTCCATCTGTCTCCCTCGCACTCACGGGCCGGCAGGTAGGGGTGCGAGGGAGAGGCCGTGTCGCAGGGCGGCAGGGCATCATTACCGCGGGGACAGCGGCGCGGTAATTGCAGCGTCTTGCTACACGGCCTACAGTGTGGGCCCTGCCGGCCCTGCGCGCCCTGCACCGTCCACAGTCCCAAGTCCACACACACGACATCGCGTGTCGACTCAGCTGCTGGGCTGCCGCTGGGCTGAGCGGCCCTTTCCGGCCTTTTCTCCACAAAACAGCCAAACAGCCACTCTGCCCGTCGTCGTCTTCTCACGGGGCCCGGTCGGCGGGGACCTCCCGGAGGACGACATCGAGGGCGGCTCCCTGTACCGCAGCCTCCCGTAGCCCTCCGGCCGCTCCGGCCCCTCCGGCCCCTCCGGCAAGCCCCGCCAGGCAATCAGGCAATCGAGCAGTTGCACGGAGAAATCCGGCGCCGCCATCGACGTTGCACCTGGCAAAAAATAGCAATTTCCTCCAGCTTCCATTTTCTTCTTGCCCAGATTTTTGTCCAGATGGTGCGTCTGTTCACTCAGTGCGCGGCTCCACTTCGACACGACCGAGATCCCAGAGACGCGATCGGACCATCGGTCCCGAAAGGCCGGAACGCCGGAATCCCCTCCCCGCCCCTGGGCCTGGGACTCCAGGGCCGATGACTCCAGATTTTTTCTAACCCCAGCCTTGCGTTGGGCCTGGCCGCCTGGCGTTACGCACGCCGCGCTCGGCCCGGCTCGGCCGCAGCCCCGTGGCTTTACGAGTGCTAATGACAGCCCCTGTCGAACATCTCCAGCACGGCCATCCAGCACGCCCCCCTCCAGGACCGTCTCCAGCGCGTCCGCGCCCTGCCGTGCCCCTGGAGCCCTGGAGTCCCTCTGAATGCAAGGGAGCCACGGCCAGTTAAAGGTGTAGCAGACCCTAACCTGCCTGAATGAACGCACCAAGTGGCGTGGCGTGAGCGAGCACCCTAGCGCTAGCGCCACAGCGCCCGCATGCGGTACCAAGTTACAACCACTACACTGCTCGTCGGAATGCCTGAGGCAAGGGCAAGGGCAGCTAGGGCGCTCCGAGTGGAGCCCCGTCCGCCCTGTCCGTGATGCTGCCCGTTTCCTAATGGGCCGTGCAGTGCAGCCTCCACTCCGCCACGTCCTTTCTATTAAAGCCAGATCGATATAATAACTCGAGCGTGTGCTGAGTCAGCTGTACACAAAGAAGGGCCTCTCCCCCGGGGAAGCCCCCGCAACCGCCCCGCCCCGCCCGCCACCCAAACAAACTTCGCCAAAGGTGTTTTCACCTCGACGAAATCCCGCGAGTGCGCGCGGGGTGGAAAACAGGGAAAGAAAGTTGGGAACACGAGCAGATAAGGGGAAAAACAAGGCGGCAGCGGTGCCAGCAGTACACAGAGTCATTATCACACCTGTAACAAACACGCCAGGAGGGGTGGGGGGAACACTGGGACAGCGCACTGCAGCGCACCGGAACACTCACTTATCTCCTTCCGCTCCGAGTTCCACGAAGGACAGCGCGGCACCGGGAACTGGAGGGACTGGAAAGGCGCGTGGGGCACGTGGGGGTGCGCTGGAGTGGCGGACACCGGCCGGGGCGGGGCGGGGCGGGCGGGGCGGGGGGGGGCGGGGCGGGACGGCCGCGGCGTCGTGCGTGTTTGTCGCCGCTTTCGGGGCTGTCGGGCCGCGGACTGATTTCGTCCGTCGCTGTCTCTCTCGCACTCGTGGGGCGTTCCGCAGCGGCCCGAGAGAGACAGAGCGACGAAACACTTTGCGCGACCCTGGCCATGGGCAGGTCTAGGTCTGGATGCTCCCCAACGCCAACGGGACTCTGCGGCCCACCGCCGCCGCGCCCGCGGTCCAGAAATAGCCCAGCCCCCGGACAAAGGGTTGGCGTTGGCCAGCCTGCCGTCGCGGGCCGCGCTGCCCAGGCGGCCAAATCCGCGTCGCGGGGCCACGGCGGGGCCGGGGAACACGGGCCGCTCGAACCCAGCGCCTTTTCCAGTACCGCTTCCACAGCGAGCCTCAATGTGCAGTGAAACAAACCCACCGCGCCGAGCTCCGAAATCTTGAGGCACGCATACTAGAGCGAGGGCGCGGCCGACGCGGGGCGCGCGGGGCACGAGGACGGACCCGGGACCCGGCTTGCGCCGCTTGCGCAACACACACGCGGCCGCGGCGTCGCGGCCTCACCGCTATCGCGATCGCGTCTGTCAGTGCACCGAGTACAGAGTATAGTACAGTGCACGGCGGCACCGCGGCAACGCGGACAGGTGGTTTTGCACGGCGCGAAGCGTGGCGAGAAGTGCACACGCGGTTGCTTCACGTCGCGCTTCGCGCAGCTGCTCGGGAAGGCTGACAACTTGATCGACGGCCGCAGAGACCGCACGACAAGTTACAAGTACCCGTCAGTGGCCGTCAGTCCGCGGCGTCCGCGGCGGCCCCGCCTTCCCTGCGGCCGCACCCTGCTCCAAGGGCCGTACTCGGCCGCGCCGCAAACACGTGCACGCCGACCCGACCCCGACGACCCGACCGCCAAGTCGCCGCCAAATTGCGATTTCAGCGCCGAGCCGGGGGGCCACTATAAACGGAAAGGGGGAGCTCGAAACCCAAGTCACTGCGTCCCGCCGCCGTTTGCCAGGGATATGGACCTCTCGAGCACACCGGTCGGGTTACGGCCGTACGGC